TTTTAATGTAATGTATAGTCCGATAAAATCAAAAGAAAAAAAAATTGGTGTAGATAAAACTTAGGATAATAATATGATTATATGCAACACGAACAAATCATTGGAGAACATATAACCTCTTTCGCTAATCAACTATTTAATTCAAAAACGTATGCAGTTACCGAAAGCTATAACTTTTATTGACGAAAAGTACTTCAAAACTCAAAAGAGTAGAATACTTCAAGTTCTCAGGGAAGCATTTCCGGCGCATCAATTATCTCATCTCTGGAAGCAGGCTTTAATTGTTGCCTCGGATGGCTGAATAATCATTTTCGAATTCTCGTAACGATGCAAGAATGTTGATGCGTATCAAAATGATCTTGGTAAATTTCGAAATTATTTTGATTATATAAACTAATGACTCTATAATGCAAATATACAGAGTGTCCCATAAGTCACGGTCCAAACTGAAAAGGTTGATTCTTTGATTTATTTTATGACTAAAATTTCTAATAAACATAGGTCAGCAAATGCTTTGTTACTGATCTACAGAGTGGTGAAATTTTAATGTATTCAAATTGAAAATGAGTAAGAATATGTTGGCAACGGCGTGGCTTACTTTTACTACAACTTTTTCCATGAAAAACTGGCACTTGGATAGCCTTAGCGTAATACCAGCATTTCTCATCGACTCGAGAACTTCTCTCAAATTCGACAATCCACTTTCAAAGGTTGAGGATGGTAGCAGGACATCATCCATATACGCCAATGCTTTGTCGTGTCTAAGATTGCCCAGTACTTTGTTTATGACCCTGACGAATACTGAGGGTGCATTACACAAACCAAAGGGAACTCTCAGATATTTGTAGTGCCCATCTGGCGTTACGAAACCGGTTTTTGGAATTGAAGACTATTCCAGTTGCAACTGGTGATATCCGCTGGCTAAATCCAAGCTACTGAAGTATTTACATCCCTTGAGGTTCTCTAAAAATTCGTCAACGCGTGGAAGAGGGCACCTATCCTCAACTCTCTTGGCGTTCAATGCCCTATAGTCCACACATAACCTCTGCTCTCCATTTTTTTTGTTTTTTTGGACTAGAAGAATTGCACTTGCGTAGAGAGAGTCAGATTCCTGTATAATATTATTTTTCAGCAAATCATCAACAATGTCTCTTACAACTTGCCGTTCATTTTAAGAGAGGCGATATCGTCTATATACTATAAGTCGATCGTCATCTAGGTGAATTGACATTTTTAAAATGTCTGTTTTGCCAAGCTGACTTGTATTTTGAGTAAAACAATCCTTGAATTCGTTAACTGTATTAACCAATAAATCTAGTTCGGGCTTGGCTAGGTTCTTATTTGCTGTGATTTCATCAACATTTAAACTACTTTCTCTGATAGAGGACGTATGCAAATATTGACAAGTTGATAAGTCTTCAAAACATGCGACTGCCCTAACTTAAACATTTTCGTAACTTACCGTTAGTTCTTCTGAAGATAGGTTGGTGACGCTGATGTAATCATCCTGTGCATTCGTTACACAGTCGTTGATCGTGTACTTTCTAAGCGGAAGTGAGCGTAAGCCGCCCTGGGACCCGATTCTCGTCCCTAGGGAGTAGAGAATGGAAAAGAAGAAGAATTTGTACTCTCGGGGAGCTCTCCTCTCTCTGAGACGAGAATCGGGCCCCTGGACAAAGACATCGCCATTTAGGGCACCCCTTGAGGTTACCGCAACCAAAGCAGTTGTTCTTGATGGTATGACAGTTAACTCCTTAGCCCATAAAAGAATCTTCCCTGACTTTATGCTCACTGAGCTATCTTGACCTCTCATGATTCGCACAGCTTCGCCACTAATAACCATTGTTGTCTTTTCGGAATTTAAAAATAACTGGCCAACCAACACAGGAATATGCTGAGCTTCGTCAGGCATGATCAAAGTTTCTACGTTATCCTCAGCTTCATCCACTTTCAGGTTTATAATAATTTTGCCAAAGTTTTGATGCAAAACCCTCCATATCCCAATATGGAAATCGTACAAGGATTCCTTTTTAGCTGAAGCTGGTATGCTGTTTCTTCTTTGATTAGGACTGCTCCGCACCTAGTGTTAACGTACGATTTCGTAGGCTTTCCGTTTACCCAACAATCGAAGAAGTAGTTTTGATTTGTTGTTAAATAATTTTCAACCACGTGATTTTTCACTGAGTGTCTGCAATCCTTGGCTGAGTGACCCATTCTATTACAATTTGTATACTCTATCTTGGGTTTTGAACACTTGTCTAAAAAGTGACCCAATTCTGGACAGATTCCTCCTGCCGAGTTCTCCAGTAAGCGACTATAGGGCACTCGAATAAAATGTGAGAGGCTGATTCTTCTCCTCGTCGCACAATCTACAGATGGGTTCATCTTGGTAAACAGTAACCGGTTAAGTGTCCCGTCACAATTCTGATCTGGTTCCTTGTGAACTTTGGGATCTAAGTCGTAGGATAGTTCACCATTGCCTTACTGTTGTGGTGCTTCGGTATTCGATACCAGTGGTTTTTGTGTTTCTCTTGAATCCGAATACGGGTTCAGGACCCAAAAGAGACCTTGTTATGACTGGCTAAAGTTAAAAGGAGTTGCAGGCAATCCCACTCTAATTTAGAGTTTATCTGTTCATCGTGATATCCCTACAAAGACCACCTCTGAAGTCTCCCTGCTGCCATTTTAGGTAAAGTTTTATATTCCACTAACCCAAACAAAGTTTGTAAAGATTTGTGATCAGTTACTATCTCGAATTTTGTACCAGCTAAATATTCATAAAATTCAGTAACTGCCCAATAAATACTTACTGCTTCTTTATGTTCCATGCTATAATTTTTCTCAGCCTTAGTTAATACGCGAGAAATGAACTTATAGGTCTTTCAACTCCATTCGGCATAACATGCAACAGAACCGCTCCAATGCCATACTCACTACTATCACAAGCTAAACGTAAAGGTTTATTCTGATCAAAATGTATCAATATACTATCAGAAAGAATACTACTTTTAGCAAATTCGAAAGACTTATAACAAGCTTTGGTCCAAATGAATTCTTGCTCTTTTTCTAGAAGTCTATACAGAGGCTTTAAGTTATGAGCCAAGTTAGGAATAAATTTAGAATAATAATTAATCATACCAACGAAAGCACGAACCTCCGTTCTGTCACGTGGTCTTGGGGTTTTTAAAATAGCCTCGATATTCTTATCGTCCTTCTCCAAACCCTGTAATAGTATGACCTAGATAAAAAAAATTATCTTGAAAGAAAACACATTTTTTTTGCATTCAATCTAAATCCAGCTTTTTCTAACCTAGTCAAAACTTCAGTTAAATTTTCCAAATGCTCAGCCTCATTTTTACCAGTAACAACAGTGTCGTCTAAATAATTAACAGTACCCTTACAACCCTGCAATACTTTCTCAACAATATTCTGAAAAATAGAACAAGCCGGTTTTGTTCCATAAGGCAAACGCTTAACCTTGAAAATACCAAATGGCGTACTCCAAGCTAGAAGCTCAGACGTCTCATCGTCCAAAACTAACTGATTGTAAGCATTCAAAAAGTCCAATTTTGTAAACTGCTGTCCACCCTGTAAAGCAACAAAAATCTCTTCTATCCGTGGAATCGGATGATTGAAATCTTTCAAAAATGTGTTAATTGTCACTTTATAATTGGCACAAACCCTAACATCTACCCCGTTAGCTTTAACAACTGGTTCGAGTGGTGTACCAAAACTAGCACTAGAAACTTTCTCAATAACACCCTCTAGTTCTAGTTTATCTAATTCTTTTAGAACTTTTTCTTCAAAAGCAAAAGCTATAGGTATGGGCTTTTTAAAAATAGGCAAAATACCTTTTTCTACTTCTAACTTAATTTTATCATACTTGTAAGTACCTAATTCATTTTTAAATAAATTTGAAAACCTATTTAAAATACTTTGAAGCCGAATTTTAGTCTCATCCTGACTTACTTGAAAAATTGGCTCGGTTTTGAATGTCTGCATAATTGGCTCACCATTTAAAAAAAAACTTCACTCCTCTCATTCAGAGTACATGAAAATTGACGCCAGATATATCTTCCTATAAGTGCCTTTGTTGCTCCTTCTACAACTAAAAATTTGCACCTTTTTGTAATATGATTAACAGAAAAATTTACTTCAATCTGACCTTTTGGCTTTACCACAGGTCCATGATAGACTTTAATTAAAATTTTGCTTGGAAATAAATCTACCGAAGGGAATAATTTTTTGTATATCTCAAAGGGTAAACAAGAGAAACCTGCCCCCGTATCAACCTCAAAAACAAGCTGAATACCATTTACAAAAGCATTTAAAGTAACTGGAGCAATGTGATCATTGTCTAAATTGAAAATATCTATCTCAAGATTAAAAAAATCTACTTCAAGATCGTTATTCCCTAAATAATTGACTTTATCAACCTGGGGGCGGATTACGAACTCTCGATTCGAACCGAAACCACCATGGATTTCGAACGCACTCCATGCAAATGCATCAGAATGCGTTCGAAATCCATGGCGGTTTCGGTTCGAATCGAGAGTTCGTAATCCGCCCCCTGGTTTTTACATACTTTAGCAATATGACCCTTTTTTTACATACACTACAAGTGTATTTCTTAAATTTACATATTTTAAAAACATGGTTACCTTCTCCACAGGCAAAGCACAAAAATTTCTTATCTCTCACCTTGTCTTGTTCATTTACCTGCTTCTTTTCTTTAGGTTTTTCACCTTTAAAATTTCCTTTCGCCTCATCAAATTTCTTCTGGTTACCAACATTTGACAAAGGCTGTCTTGTGTCCTTAAGGGCTGACTCTTTACTAAAGCTATCTCCACCATTTCCTTCAAAGATCTTGTTATTTTCTCTTCACAAAGACGGTCTAAAATAGGTCCTGGTTTTAATCCAACTACAAATTTATCTAAAACCCTGGACTCGAGCAAATTTCCATATTTACATTCGGAAGTTGCTTTTTTTACTGAACAAACCATTCATTAATCGACTCTTCTTTCTGCCTCAATAAATTGAAAACAATTCTTTTTCGGTAAACAGATACTTTTGGTATAAACTGGCCTGACAACAAATCAACTAACTCCAAAAAAGATTTGGAACTGGGTTTTTCCGGATGACAAATGTTTCGCAAAATAATATAAACTTCTTCAGTTATAGAAGTTAAAAGCACTGAAACTCTTCTGCCATCTTCAACACGGTTGGCTAAAAAAAACTGGTCTTTCGCTAAAAATTTCCCAATCATCCCCAATCTTGAAAATAGTCAAATTAGAAATATTGCCCGTATTTACTACAGTAACATTCGCCGTGCCCGTAACCTCAGCATCATTGTAAGCGTCGTTCGGCATCTTGAAAAGGCAAGGATAATCCAATAATATTTTTTTCCCTCGTCGCCAAAAATGTGATAACTGGGAATTCGAACAAAGAGGATTTCTGGAATTATCATAGGAAAATTATCCAAGTTTATTTTTCTGACAACCAGTAACCATGGCTAGTAACTAGTGAAGATAACAAAAGAAAATGAATATAATAAAAATGTACCTTGATAAAAATAATAACAAAAACCTGATATGACAATATAAAAACTATGAAATGCTAAGAGCAGTTATCCAATATACTACAGTATACGTCATTTGTTTTAACTTTTTGAACTCTGCCTTCTAGATGTGATTTGAACAGATTGGATATTGAACCTCTCATGACAATGCTTTCGAGGCGCTTCAAAAGAACTAGATGCGCAACCGTGTCAAAGGCTTTTCTAGGGTCTAAAAAGACAGCGATTGGCTTACGACCTTTATTTATAGATTTTGTAATAAACTGATTAACCTCGTGCAATGTATTGTCCGTCCCAACACCTGGTTTAAACCTAAACTGATACGGAGAGCTGCACAGGGCTATTGGTCTATAATTGTTTTTATCAGTCTTGTCGTCTGATTTATGAATAGGTAAAATTAGGTATTTTTTTAAATATTTTTGGATAACAACCTGTAGGAAATATGAAATTAATGAATGTAGCAAAGGTTTGGTGAGGTAAGCATAATAGTTTTTTTTTTAGTATTTTAGAGGTAATACCATCATCTCCTTAAAAAATTGTATTTTTTAACGAGCTTATGACATTAATTAGTTCTGATTCACTAACTGGTCTCAGAAACATAGAATGATGGCAAATAGTCTCATATTTTTGTTGGGTTTGTATAATCTGTTGTTCAAGTTTTGCGCCAATAGAGCTAAAAAAGGAATTAAATTCATTGGCAATCTCTCCAGTGTCAGAGACAGCCTGTCCATTGTCTTTTTTAATGCACTTAACACTAGATGAATCACGGTACTCATTATAAGCTTCCTGAATAGTATTCCATTTTTTTTTTTTTAGGATTTTTATAATTTTCATGAATAAAGAAATATATTGTACCAAGAAATTATGATGCGTAATAATTTGTGGAATTTCAATCTCACCTACCCAATGTTCCCAATTTCAAAATCTTACTATAAATCTAAACAATTTTTTTTTTAGGTTCATGATAGAAAATGATGATCTAGAAGATGACATCAAAAACGAAATAGAAGTATCAGCTATTGAACTGATCCAAGTAAAGAGATAGACGAGGAGAAATATTCAAATGCCGCAAATTTAGCGGGACTAGATGTTTTTCGGAAATTCCAATGCTATACTTGCAACATTGTTTTTAAAACCGAAACAAGTTTGAAATATCATTCAATGTCACATTCGGATATTCGTATTTTTGAATGTAACACTTGCAAAGCAAAATTTAAACAAAAATCCAATTTGAAGACACACATAGTAAAACACTCGGATAATAATCCGTTCGCATGTGATATTTGCAATGCAAAATTTAAACGGAAACGCGGATTAAAGATTCATAAATTATTACACTTAGAAATTTATCCATTTGAGTGTGACATTTGCAAAGCAAAGTTTAGACGAAAGAATAATTTGAAGTGTCACATAATAACACATTCGGATATTCAACCTTTTGAATGTGACACATGCAAAGCAAAATTCAAACGGAAAGAGAATTTAAAGCATCACAAGCAAAATTTATACGAAAATCGGTTTTGAAGAATCACAAATTAACACACTCGGATATTTATCCTTTTGAATGTAACATTTGTAAAGTGAAATTCAAACAAAAAGGCAATTTGAAGACTCACCTATCAACACACTTAGATATTTATCCTTTCGAATGTAACACTTGTAAAGTAAAATTTAGACAAAAAAGCCATCTGAAGACTCACATATCAACACACTTAGATATTTATCCTTTTGAATGTAACATTTGTGAAATGAAATTTAAACAAAAAGGCAATTTGAAGAATCACCTATCAACATACTTAGAAATTTATCCTTTTGAATGTAACACTTGCAAAGCGAAATTCAAACTAAAAGAATATTTGAAGAATCACATGATAACACATTCGGATATTTATTCCTTTGAATGTAACACTTGCAAAGTAAAATTTAAACGACAATCCACTTTAAAGAATCACATTTTACCACACTTGGATATTATTTCTTTTGCATGTGACACTTGCGAAGCAAAATTTAAACAAAAAAGCAATTTCAAGAGACATATATCAACACACTCGGATAAGAAGAACTTTAAATGCAATATATGTAACGCTAAATTTAAAACCAAGGGTAATTTGAAACGACATTTAGATAGGTGTAAATTTTAATGTAATTTATAGTTTGATGAAATTCAAAGAAAAAAAATTAGTGTAGATAAAAACTCAGGAAATGATCCATACATATACAACGCGAACAATTCATTAGAGAACATGTAACCTCTTTTGTTAATAAACTATTTAATTCAGAACCTCAGCTACCAAAAGCTACCGGGGGTTTTTTAAAACCTCAAAACACTTATAAAGGTGAGTGAGTTTTGCAAAATACACGGTATATTACTTTTATTGTGGGAAAGTACTTCAAAATTCAAAAGAGTAGAAACTTTCAGGTTCTCAGGGAAGCAAAAACAATAAAGCAACTAAAAAAGAAAAAAACTCCTTGTCATGACAAAATAACAAAAGAAATAGTCCAATCTATTTCAGAATATGAATATAGTAGAACCCCTAAAGTTCATTGAACAAAGTATTTGAATCGGGAATATGTCCAAACTCTTTTAAAACAACAGTCATTAAACCCTTGTATAAGTCTGGTGAAAAAAACAAATGTGTCCAATTACCGTCCCATATCACTTATAATAAATGTTTTTGAAAAAACAATTGAAAAATTTTTGACAGACTTTTCACAAAAAAACTAATATTTTGTCAGAACATCAGTACGGCTTCAGATAAGGAAGATCGACGGAAGATGCTATAGAGAACCTTACAACAAATATGTACAAGGCTTTAGATGATAACAAAAATTCTCTCGCAGTTTTTGTTGACCTCTCCAAAGCATTTGACACAGTAGACTAGTAGGCCATGCAATATTATTACAGAAATTGAAGAGCATCGGAGTAAGCAGCAATTTGCTACATCTATTCCAAAACTAATCATCTAATAGAACACGAATAGTAAAGATGGATAGTGTCATTAACACTACACCTTTTGCATATGTATTTCAGAGATCGTCAGTTTAATTTCAGAATGCGTCAATTGAAATTCAGATTAGTAAATTGTATTTCGGAAAGCGTCAATTGTATTTCAGAATAAATAATTTAATCTGGGAAAGAATCAATTGTATTTCAGATTAGTTTATTTTATTTCAGAAAGTGTCAATTGTATTTCAGATTAGTTAATTTTATATCGGAAAGCATCAATTGTATTTCAGATTAGTTGATTGTAGTTCAGAAAACGTGAATTGTATTTCAGAAATTGTCAGATGTAGTTCGGAAATTAGTAGGTATCTACGCAGATTTCCCCAAATCAACACAAGATAGGTGTATAGGTGACTCATTATAAATTTTATTTAATACACTACACCTTTTCCATAAGTATTTCAGAATGTATCACTTGTATTTCAGATTCATCAATTCTAGTTCAGAATGCGTCAATTCTATTTCAGTTGTGTAAGTTCAATTTCAGAAAGTGTTATTTGTATTTCAACTTTGTCAGTTGTAGTTCAGAAAACATCATTTGTGTTTCAGATTCGTCAGGTGTATTTCAGAAAAAGTCATTTGTATTTCAGTTTGGTCACTTGTATTTCAGAAATCGTCATTTGTGTTTCAGATTATTTATTTGTAGATCAGAAATTGTAAATTGTATTTCAGAATTCGTCAAATGTATTTCAGATATTATCAATGTAGTTGTATTAAATAAAATTTATAATGAGTCACTTATACACCTAACTTGTGTTGATTTGGGGAAATCTGCGTAGATACCTACTAATTTCCGAACTACATCTGACAATTTCTGAAATACAATTCACGTTTTCTGAACTACAATCAACTAATCTGAAATACAATTGATGCTTTCCGATATAAAATTAACCAATCTGAAATACAATTGACACTTTCTGAAATAAAATAAACTAATCTGAAATACAATTGATTCTTTCCCAGATAAAATTATTTATTCTGAAATACAATTGACTCTTTCCGAAATACAATTTACTAATCTGAATTTCAATTGACGCATTCTGAAATTAAACTGACGATCTCTGAAATACATATGGAAAAGGTGTACATTGATAATATCTGAAATACATTTGACGAATTTTGAAATACAATTTACAATTTCTGATCTACAAATAAATAATCTGAAACACAAATGACGATTTCTGAAATACAAGTGACCAAACTGAAATACAAATGACTTTTTCTGAAATACACCTGACAAATCTGAAACACAAATGATGTTTTCTGAACTACAACTGACAAAGTTGAAATACAAATAACACTTTCTGAAATTGAACTTACACAACTGAAATACAATTGACGCATTCTGGACTAGAATTGATGAATCTGAAATACAAGTAATACATTCTGAAATACTTATGGAAAAGGTGTAGAACAACAATAACATAAGGGACTTTCCTTGGTCCGATAAAATTTCTACTCCAATTCTCTGTTACATACCTACTGCCATATACTGTTATGCAATTGCTGTTGAATTTTTTTAGTTCTTGTGAGTGAATATCTATGCTATAATGATGGTTAGGTACTACATTTGAATAAACCAACAACTTGGAGATTTGTATAAATAAAGAAATATATTGTATCAATAAATTACGATGTATAATTATTTTTGGAATTTCAATCTTACCT